GAGGTACAGAAGGAATTGAGGGCACAGGAAAAGGACATGGCCTGGGGAAAGAGAAGGCTCACCTCTTCCTTCAATATAGGAGTAAAGGTGGAGGTGATGGGTGAAAATGTAGATAGGCTTTACAGCATGAAGGAGGGAAGATGAAGAAACTCACAGCCTATTTTAGTGAAATAGGAGGGTGGAGAGGGTCAAGGAGGAGGGTCATTACCAATGTTCTCTTACCTGACAAATTCAATGTCTTTTTATTAATACTATCTTCTTTGATCTGAAGCTTACGAAACCATTGGCCTCCCTCTCTTCCCTTGGCTTTGGGGCCTTTTCTCTCTCCTAGTTTTCATCCTACCCCTCTGACCATGCCTCAATCTTGTTTTATTGGATTCTCATCCATATCCTTCCTTCTCGGTGTGAAATTCCATGGCGTTTTCTTGGGTCCTTGTCTCACTAACTCCTTAGCAGACCCCATCTCCTCTAATGGGTTCAACTTTCTTTGCCATGTATTTCTCTGTGTATACAGTGAACCCTTTCAGTCATAGAGGGAAAAAAATGTAAGCTCTTTGAGGAAAGGGACTCTTTTATTTTTGATGATTTGTTTCCCCAATACTCAGTTCACAACCTCACTCAAAGTAGGCTTAACAATCGACAAACAATACTCTGTCAAGTGTTGACAGTATTGTTGAACTGAACTTTTGCCATCATACTCTGCACTAGTTGGACAAAAACTCACCAATTATGCAGTTCTGGAATCCACATTTAAAGATGAGTGAGTTTGGAGATGAATCTTAAAGATATTTAAAGGATTATGAAATCAAATCCATAAGGATGGATTTAAAGATAGAGTGAAACTTTCCTTAACAACAATCACTTACATAGTACTTTTATTTGGACCACACTTATGATTTCATTAGTACAAGGAATTCTTAGTGAGGAAACTCCTTCTACAAATGCAGAGTTACCTGGGGGACACTGAGAAATTAAGTGAAATGCTTTAGAGTCACTCAGTTTGTGTCAAAGGGAAATGTTAATTAACTCAGTTCTTATTGAGGCTGACTCTTTATCCACTACCCACTTTAAGGTTTATTCAGCACTTTCAGAAAAGTTATTCATAATTTCACTTTTTAAATATGTGAATCGCACTTCTTCCAGATTTTATGGCTTGCCAGTAGAGTAAGGCTTGGAGAGTATTTTATGTGGGAACTATGGAAAATAAGAGAAGACGTGCAGTCACTTTCCTCAAGAAGTTTGAAATCTAGAGGTGATAGTGGGCCTGTGCAATTGTGGACATACTCACTATAGGAGATACTCAGGTATAGGAGATATTCAGGTATCTCCTATAGTAACATAATCTTACCTATTTCAAGGGTAGCTAAGGCTCTGGAACTAAGGATAAAACCAAAATAAAATTTAAAAAAAAAACCCTCAGAGTAACCAGGATATTTAAAAAGTTCAAAAAGTTCCTGTACTTTACTCACTGTTGAATTCAAAAGGCCCTTACTCAGACAATTTATGTTTCATAAGCAATATTAAACAGTTTGGTTATCTGGTTTCCTAGCTAAGAGAAATGAGAAACAACAAATTTTAACAGTGTATTGGCTTCTAGGTGGCACAGTAGATAGTGTGCCAGGCCTGGAGGCAGGAAGACTCATCTTCCTGAGTTGAAATTTTGCCTCTTTCACTAGCTGTGTGACCTTGGGCAAGTCACTTTATCCTGTTTGCCTCAACTTCCTCATCTGGAAAATGATCTGGAGGAGGAAAATGGCAAACCACTCCAGTATCTTTGCCAAGAAAATCCCAAAAATAGGGTCACAAAGAATCGTACAGGACTGAAATGACAGAACAACAATAGTGCACCTAATAGATTCAGGCTCTCATGAATAGCACAGTCACATCCATGAAGGAAGAGATGAAAAAAAAGTTTTTAAAACAGTAACAAGTACACTATACTAAAGTATAGTGGTCTAGGGCTATTTTGGCACTGGGACAAACATCCTAAGCAACCCCCAAACCCCAGTATAGCCATATATTAAAATGACATAATTATATAGAAGTATAAACGGAGTGTGGGGTGTGTGGATAAAACAATGGCTTTAAAGGAAATTCCAACAGAAGTTTCAAAAATGTTTGTATGACAGTACTGCTAAAATAAGTATAAAGTATCCAGAGGTAAAATTATTATTCCTATTTATTAAGGCAGATTTAGTTTAAATTAGTTGCTTAATGTCACACAGCTAATAAAAACATATATGGCCAAATTTGAACTCAGGTCTTCCTGATTCCAGGTTTAGCACTCTTCGTACTATACCACCTGTTTTTTTTTTTTTTAATTAAAACTCTGCATGGTGAGTTTGTTAAAATAAAAATACACTACAAAGCAGTCTTATTATCAGTGTACTACATAAAGTATAATCATTGCTGTTCACACTGATGATACTTATTCATAAAACGGTTATGTTATATTCAGCATATTCTATTTAAGAGAAGAGTCCTATTTTCAAATATGAATATGGGTAGAGGTTTTAAAAGGTCTAAAAGTGAATTTTCTAGAATCTTCCATTACCTGGCAAATAAATGAAGTGTTTTGAAAAGAAACTCACTAGAGTCACCTGGATAGGTTTACACTTTCATTTTCAAATGCATTTTGCTTGATGATATATGATTAGTGAATTTTATGGAAAAAAGTAAATAATTTCAATTTATATAGTTACCTGTAATGTTGTTTTATCTTGAAGTTGACAAATATATACTCAAACTTGAGTTGTTTTTTTCACCTGTCTGGCCCAAATGACCACAATCATAAGCAGCAGTTCTCTAGCAATGGTGCCTAGAAACAACCAGTTAGGAAGTTGAGAAATTAATGCCAGAGGGTTTCAGTCCTGTCCAAATCTTTGACCGCTTTTGAGTTTCTCTTGACAAAGACACAGAAGCAGTTTACCATTTCCTTCTCCAGCTCATTTTCCAGATGAGGAAACTGAGGCAAACAATATTAAGTGACTTGCCCAGGGTCACACAGTCAGTTTGTATGGCTGGATTTGAAGGTGAGTCTTCCCGACTCCAGTCTCATTACTCTATCCACTGACTCACCTAGGTAGTGGAAATTCTAGCTAAGTCCTAGCAGTCTTTACAAAAGGGATATGACCTCAAATGCCCCAGTCTACAAACCAGCCTGCAATAACTTTTTGTATATATTTCAGTGATTTCCTTAGGGTATCATTAATGTTGGTTATAAACTATTTTAAATTCTTTTAATGAAATCTGTTTTTAAAAGCTAGAAATGTTTTCTACTCACAACAGAATTAGGAAATTTAGTAGTATTTAGTCACTTTTTAAACATTTCAAATTTCATACATAAAACAACAACAACAATAATAATATTTATATAACACATTAAGATCTGGGGGTATAAACTTTCATTAAGGAAGGATCCCAGGCCAACTATCTTTTCATATCTCACGAGGCTGCACTCCTATGGACTTTTGCCAGTACATTCCCCCCCCCCCTTTTTTTTTTTGTCTTCTCTCATTAGACTGTAAACTCCTTGAAGATAAGCACTGTTTTCCTTTCTATTTGCATTTGCACCGATGCATACCCTGTACCTGGCACTAGCTGGTTGGCTTTTAGTAAATTTATTAAGATTTGCAAAAAATTTTCTACGATTATTAACTCATTTTATCCTCCCAACAACCTTAAGAGGTAGGTGCTATGAATTCCACACTATGCTAGCAATTCCATTGTACATATGAGGAAACTGAGGCAGACTTGTCCAGGGTCATCACCCAGGTGGTGAATGTCTGAAACAGGAGGGAAACTGCCAAGGTCCCCTTGCAACCCCATTTTAAAATTCTTTCCACCGGCGAGGGTGGCTATATGCTCTGAACTTCAGTTCTCTTCTTGGTTTAGACCACCCGGGGCAACAATGATGCTCTGGCTGCAAAGTCACAGAATACGGCAAAGGCTGATGTTATGCCCTTGCTCGGCGGGGCGCCCCGGGTTCTATCCCGAGCGGCAAAGCCCGCCCTGAATGCGTTTTCTCCCCTCCCCCGTCGCAGAGCCGGGCTGCGCACCACCGACGGACTGAACGGTAACTCGCCCCACTCTTCCGGCCTCGCAGGGGGTCCCGCCTGGCACCCGCGCCCCTGGTCCCGCCAGGGATGCCCACCTGGCACAAAAGAAAACCAGGCTGGAAGGTCCAACTTTGGGAGAAAGCGCGGCCAGCGTACGGGGCAGCCGCTCCGAGCCCCCTCCCGGACCCGGTTCCGAGGCCGACTTCGGCTTTTCCCGACGCTCCCCGGAGAAATCCGGGTCAGTCAGGGTCAAGGTCAGAGGTTTCCGCGCCCCCGCCCGCCCCGCCCCCAGGGGGCTCCTTTTCATCCTTCAGGTCCCTTCAGGAAACTTTCCGAAGGGGTGGGTGAGGGGGAGCTCGGAGGGGAATGGGCAGGTAGAGGGAGCCGGGGAGGAGGGGGCGTGGCCGCGCGGGGTGAGGGGCTTTTGGAAGGCAAGTGGGGAGTCGGGGGCGGCCGGGGGCGACGGAGGCGGGCGGTGAGCGGCGGGGCACAGGACACGCCCTGCGGGGGGAGGGGCGGGGCCGGGCGGCCGCCCGCCCCGGGTTCGCTGCCGGGAACGAGCCGCGGGGCTGACTCGAAGAGCAGCTCCCTGAGGGGGCGCGAGGGGCCAGCCCGCCGGAGCCAGCGCACTCCTCCTCGTCCTCCTCGTCCTTCTCGTCCTCCTCGTCGTCCCGGAGCCCCCGGCCCGACCGGCGCTCCGTCGGTGCTGCGTGCGGCGGAGGCTGCGGGGCGCGGGCGGTAGCGGCGCCGAGTCCATGCGCCAGGCGGGCGGCCCGGCTGCGGCCGCGTGAAGCGCCAGCCCCCGTGGGATGCGCCCCTGAGCCGCGCCACTGGGGAACTGCAGCTCCGCCCGGGGGAGGGGGGCAGGGCGCGGGGGGCCGGGGGGCCCGGCGGCGCCCGTACACCCCCGCCGGGGAGGGCACCGGCCGGCGGCGGAGCAGAAGGCACAGCCATCTGCCCACCGCGGCCAGCGACCGACCCCGACCATTAAAAAAAAACCCGCTCGCTCCCCGAGCTACCGGAGGTCGGCGGCGACACCTGAAATTTGAGCAGGAAAACGGGTTCCTTCTGTCTCGGGCTAAGATTACACAGGCAGGGGTGACTCGGTAGGAGCAGCAGCAGCAGCCGTGAAACGAGGTGAGAGCGGGGAGCGAGACCCCCCAGCCCAGCCCAACCAGAGGCGGGGAGGGGCGCGCGGCCTCTTCTCCCCGGGGGGGGGGGGGGGGGGGGGGGGGGGGAGGGGGTCGGGGAGAGACGTGAGACCAGAGTCCCCTCCGCGGCCCCTGTCACCTCTGCCCGCGCCCCCCGCCGATCCGGGCCGCCCGGAGCCGTCAAGGTCTGGGGTGCGACGCGCGGGAGGAAGCGAGCCGGGCCGTGGGACGGGCCCCGAGGCCCCCGAGGTGCCGCGGCGGGTGCACCCCCACCCTGGAACAGAAAGTAGTGAGGGGACAGCTAAAGTTCAAATTCAACTCCTCCCTACTGGAGGAACGGGCGGGGGTGGGGGGGAGAAACTTCCAAGAAAATAAAACTAGCTCCCAACTCTCCTGGAAGTTCTTGGGAGTTATCATCATCATTAATAATATTTTCATACTGTCGGGAACTCTTGAAGTAGTACTTATAGCTATTAAAAATCCACGTGCGGGTCCGTGAGAATGAGGAGTAGGAGGAGAGCGTCCAGGCCCCTGAGGGGGGCGATGCCCCTTGAACTCGAGGGATTGCGAGTGAGGGAGGGGAGGAGGTGAGAAGATGTGGCCGGAGTGCCGGGTGGGGGAGGAGATGGGGCGGGTGGTGCGAGGGCTGCAGGATGGCCCCAGACCACACCTGTACTAGGTAGAGGAAGTGCAGAGGAGGCGGGTGCTGGGGGTGAAGGCCCCTAGCGCTCTCTCTTCGGGATGCTGCTTGTGCCGCGCGTCTGTCACTCAGCGAAGGACGGGTTTGGGGAGAGGCTGTCTCCACCTGTGGCGCCGATGCTCATCGTTTTGAGGAACACCCGTGCTTGCTGGGGAGAAGGCTTTTTGCCCCCTGAGGGCCTGTAGCTGGGAAGCCTGAGTTTGCTGCTTTTCATCTTTGGGCCCCAGCGGGGCCCCCACCTTTTTACAAATGAGGAAGTTGGTGGGAAAGTGGTTTTAAGATTCATCACGTACATTTCTTTTGATGGAAAGCTCGGAAGGTGTGGCCATTTGGTGACTTGCCAAGTGTGACCGAGATTCTTTTGCTATGGTGTTGGTCAGTGCTGTCCTTACGACTCTCAGGAACTGAACTGAGCTGCTCTGAAGGAGATTTGTCGGTGAGTTTGGCTCACAGGTGAAGGAAGGAAGGAAGGAAGGAGAGCACTTTTTAATGAGTGTCTTAGCGGTATGAGAAGGGGATGAGTCTTGATCCCTTGTGGCTTTTAATTGCTTCCAGATTTGTAAACTCTCTTGTGGCAGTGTGAGCGACATCAGTTTATTGTTTATTTAATTAAATATTAATCCGGGTGCCTACCATCCCAGGGTTGTTTAAGCTCCAAACAGCAAGTTAAGCGTTAGCTTTTCCTTAGCCATTTTGGTGTTTTTAATGTAATAGGGTGTCTGTGTCCAGCAGTCACCGTACATAAATCCAGTGGGAAGAGCTTTATTATGATTTGTTATCCATGAAGACAAGGTGACAATTATCACTGTGATCTGGGTAGACAGATGATTTTTATTAATAATAATAGCATTTATGTAGTGCATGAAGATTTGTAAAGCATTTTTAATATATTAGCAAATTTCATCCTCACTACAACCCTCTGAAGTAGGTGCTGTTATTATCCCCACTTTACAGATGAAGAAAGGGAGGCTGAGATGAATGATTTGCCCTGAGTCACTCAGCTAGTAAAGTGAGGCAGGATTCAAATTTAGGTCTCACTAACTCAAAGAAAAGTGAACCACATTGGCAAAAACTGCTGTCACAGCATGGTCCCACTGTGGGACATCCAGAAATTGCTTGCAAATTGCATCTAAACTTGTTTGTAAGGCAGGAAATAGCCTTCTTGTGGAAGGCAATTGAAGTGGTTCATCTTTTTATAACAGTTAACAATTCTTGAATTGTGGTGCCATTTTATCTTTACATGACTTATTTGGTAGTAGGCACAGAGTAGTGACTAATAATACTAATAGCATACATTGTTTTAGTAAGAAGACATTTTTGAACTGGACAGAAGCAGCATAATATAGTCCAGGGTTTTTAACCTGGGATTCATAAATTTGCTATTTTAATATTTTGATAACTATTTCAATATGATTTCCTTTGTAATTCTATAAATTTTATTTTATACACTTAAAGCATTATTGTGAGAGGAGGTCCATAGGTTTCTCCAGATGACCAGAGGAGTCCATATCTCTCTCTCTCTCTCTCTCTCTCTCTCTCTCTCTCTCTCTCTCTCTCTCTTTCTCTCTTTCTCTCTTTCTCTCGGGTACACGTTAAAGCCTTCTGCAGTCATCTGAGTGGTGGACTTGGAGGCAGGAACTTGAGATTTGAATCCTTTCCTAAGACACATGTATAACTGTGGGATAATTCAGTCATGCTGTCTGAGCCTCAGTTTCTTTCCTTATAAATTCGGGATAATCATATTTGTATTAAGTTATAGAAAAGGTACTGTCACCAGTAGGAGCAGAAGTTATTTCCTTCCTAGAAGTTCTGCACACCAGTGAAATTAAAGATCCAATACAAACAAAAACTTGCATTACTCTTTTCCCAGTGTTGTTGTGAGAATTTAAAGTTTAAGCTGCACCTGTGATAGTGATTTCTTCAGTATAGGAATCTCTCAGATGAAGAAACTCCTCTTTTTTTTTTTCCCCTGGGGCAATTGGGGTTAAGTGACTTGCCCAGAGTCACACAGCTAGGAAGTATTATGTGTCTGAGGCTGAATTTGAACTCAAGTCCTCCTGACACCAGGGCTGGTGCTCTATCACACTGTGCCACCTAGCTGCTCCAGGAAACTCCTCTTTATCTATTTATGTAACTATGCTATGTAGCTTGCATTCAGATGTGGGTTGGACAAATGTTCATGGAAAGCTGAAAGATTTGGAGTCAGAGAATGTGGATTATAGTCTTCCCTCTGCTACTTAGTACCTTTGATTTTGGGAGATATTGCTTAATCTCTCTGGGCCTCAGTTTCCACATCTGTGTAAAACAAGGATGTTGGACTTCAGAAACCTCTATGACCCATTTATGAAGATGTAAGATATAAAAATACATTCTCAAGATGCAGTCTTGAGAATAATTGAATCCTATAAAATGCCATCAAAATTTTGAGGAAAGTTAAAAAAAACAAATCCCTTTCCACCTTAAACAACCACAACTCCTATTCCGGTACATTTAGTTGGAGCTATTTCCGTTACAAGTGCTTTCCTAAGTTGATTGTGAAGAATGTTTTCTTTTAATTTTTACTGTCAAAATAGAACAGTTTCTCTTGTAAAATCTTGGGGGTAGGAAGTGGATTTCTAGATAACTGAAACAGCCACCTATAAACGCCCAAAAATAATATAATTAACAAATATAATTAAATTCACATTGTTCTTTGAAAAATAAACAGAAATTTCTGATGAGAATTTTTTCCTAAAATATATTGCAATCTGAGCCTTGAATTTTTCATAACACAGTTTAAACTTTTTTATGACTCAGAATCATTATAAAGAACAACAGTTATTGAACGGAGTAGTATGTTGGTGACATAACTCGAGTTTTTTTTAATTGTTTGCCCCTACATTTTTTTGGCTCCATTTTCTTTTTTGTACTGCAATACTAGAAATTGGACATATCAGAAGTAGTCGTCTCTTTACAGTTTTTCTGTTTCCCTCTGTAGCCAATTGTGTGTCCAGATGATATAGTCTTCTCCCCCTACCCCCCTCAGGTGTGTGAATGGGAGTGAGGTTCTGACTTACCTGTCGAGGGGAGTACACTAGAATTGTGACAGATGTTTGTCCCCTTTACTCCTCTTAAGGTCATATTTGAGGTTGAGGTCACTGTGGTGGATGTCACAGAATTCTGGATGAGTTGTATTAGGGTACTAAATTTGTTATGATAAATTGTATGACAAAAAATTTTCAGAAGCATTACCTAATTTTTTTAATGTTACTATGCCCATTCTTCACATAGCTCTCTGATTCCCTTAAATAATCAATCATTCAACATTTATTAAGTGCCTACTTTGTGCCAGGTACTGTGCTCAGCACTGAGGTTACAAAAAAAGGAACAAAAAAAGCAAAGGACAGTCCTTGCCTTCAAGAAGCTTGCAGTCTAACGGAGGAGACAACATGCAAACAAATACATACAAAGCAAGTTATATATAGGATAAATAGAAAATAATTAACAGAGAAGACCCAGAATCGAGAGGGGTTAGGGAAGGCTTCCTATAACAGTGGAGATTTTAGTTGGACCTGAAAGGAAGCCTGAGTGGTCAGTAAGGCGTGCAGAGGAGAAGAGAGTGCTCTAGGTATGGAGGACAGCAGGAGAGAAAGCTCAGAGCTGAGAAATGGAGCGTCTTGTTAGTGCAACAGCTAGGGAGCCAGTGTCACTGGATGGAAGAGTGCATGTCAGGGAGGAAGATACAAGAAAACTGGAAAGGTAGGAGGGGCCTAGGTTAATGAAGGTCTTTGAATGCCAAACAGAGCGTTTTGTGTTTTCTCCTGGTGGCCATATGGAGCCACTGGAGTTTATTGAGTAGTGAGGGGTCACATGATCAGACTTACTCTTTTAGGAAAATCACTTAAGTAGTTGAATGGAGAATGGATTGGACAGTTAAACAGTTAACATGGTTTTGGAAAAGGTAAAAATTCCTTCATTAGGATCACAGTAATAGAGGTGCATATTTTATTTGGTATATATCCATTTCTTCCTTTTGAAAGGTAATATTACCCTGTTATATAGTATGTAGAGAGCTGGCCATTGAGCCAGGAAATACCTGGATTCAAGGCCCTATCTTGATGAATGACTGCTATGTGACCCTGGGTAAGTCACTTAGCTTCTCAATCCTAGGCAACTCTAAGACAGTGAACTACAGAGGAGGTGCTGACCTGAATTTAGAGTCTCTTCATCTGGGAGTTCTCTGTTAGTGAAGTCCCTAGCAGGAAATTAATATACTCCTATATGCATATAACCAAAGCTAGGCCTAT